TTCCAATTTTGGATGAAGAATTCTTCCCTCTCAATATCGCAGTGCCTTCTCTGCACGGAAGCTGAGCCCACGGGGTAGCGGCTGCAAGCAGCCAAGCTGTGCTGCCTCAAACGCATTCTTGCGCCCCTTACATGTCAACGGTGCTCCCCAGGGTCTTCAGAGCGCCTGCCCATCCCAGGCCTGTAACGACACAGCTGACGTGAAGGCTGCCAGGTCTTCAATGTCCTTGACATCTTCCTTCAGATCTTACATCTTGCACACCGAAAGCACTGGTACCCGGGTAGAACCCAAAAACCTATATAGGTGCTGGCAGGCAGAGTTTAGCATACTTGGTACGTTGCTTGGCAAGGCCCTTTTGCAGCCGAAGCTTCCGCATTTGGCTGGCCGTGGACGGACAGTGCCATCTGCACGTCCTCTTGAAGACGGCAGTCAGGAGCAGTCCAGGGATACTACGGAACGGGAGCAGGAGAATCGGAGTCTCTTGCAGTCTCTGCATCCGCTGCAAGGTGCCCAACACAGTGTCATGCAATGAAGTTCGAACATGCCTTGCCAGCTAGGCGGAGCCCGTAGCTCGGGCTCAACTGGAGGGACGCCTCGGCTTGCTTGGAGCTTTCATTGTGAAGCACAAAAGCCTCCGTTTAAAGATCGCACGTTTAATCTGCTGCCTCGTCCCCGCGATTCTCCAGGCACACCTCGACAGATGCCACATGAGCCTCTGCGGTGGGACGAAATGAAGCTCGTGCCAAAGTATACCGAATTCTGACGCAAGCGATTGTTTCAGCGAAGCCTATGCCAGGCTCAACAGACCAAGTCGAATCGAGGGGAGGCGAGGGGTTCCGGTGGGGCCTCTGCGGGGCAATCAAAGGTGAAGAGCTTGTAGCCTGGCCCGGGAGAGAAGGACCTGAGTGTCCGAGGCAAGAGTGAAACAAAATGAAAGATTCCGTGGGTTAGCACCGGTGCTGCCACACTGCCTCTGCACTGGCCTATCGGCCAAGTCACGCAAAGTCCTTGCCGTTGCAGCGGAGAATAACCTGAACTGACAACAGAGAACAAAATGAACAAAGCATATCACGACACCCTCTCCAGATCTTATCATCACACTGCAAAGCATTCCAGACAAGAAGTCGAGGAACCTGGGCCGGCTTGCTCGACCGTGCCAGCAAGTCCAAACGGCCGCCCGGAGGCGGCGCCAGCGCCGGCTGCAAACACACTGCTTCGCAAGCTTCGCAAGTCTCGTGTCAGTACATCATGTACCTACACTGACCTACACCTTCTCCATCCTTCTCCCAGTATACTGAAGTAATCTGACGCAGATGGGCCTCCATTTCCGTGTTGACTTCTGACAAACGCACGTCGCTCCAAGCAAGGCCAGGAGGGAACGCTCCCTGAGAAGCAAACCAAACAAAATCTGACTTGTCACGCAAATCACCGGGCTCTGGGACCTCACTGGCGCAGATTCGCGCTGGATGCTCACCATCGATTGGCCCCTTGCATAAGCTAGAAGATTCAAGAGAGTGAAAGGAGTGACATGGCTGCGGAGAGCGAAGTTTGCGAGTTTGAGCGAACAATGGCCATCCCGAAACAGATGCTCTAATTCCCGCCCGTCCAGCCTTGGCCTCGCTTGTCCCACCGTTGGCCTGATCATTCGGATGTCTTCGAAGAACGTTGTCCCTGCAAGTCTTTGTCGGGTTGGATGCGGCCTTGCTGAGGCTTGCGCTGGCTTGCTGAGATTTGCCCGGCGGCGATTGTTAAAGGTTTCGATCGTTTTAAGAATTTTAAGATACCTTCGCGGTTTGTTGAGCCGTTGAGAGCCCAGTGGCCTCCAGTGGCCGAGGCGATGACATGGGAAGCGTTGAGAAATTTGCATGATTTGCTGACAATTTGCACCTCTCTGAAAACCCATATGGCCTCCTCGAAGAACTGTCGTGGGCGAGGCTGCGAAGCATTCTCCCCTTCCCATCGTGTACAATAGTGTACAGTTGCAGGGACATGCGCGACAATTGATGCAATCCATTCTCCTTCACAAACGGGCCTACCATCAACGATGCCCGCTGCAACGTAATCTTGGCATAGTGCAACTCCTCTTCGAAGGTCGCCGGATCCTCACTGATGTTGGTTGAACCGGCTATGACCGGCTGCACTGCAGCTAGGCTATTCACGGCATGGGCGATCGGCACACATGAGCCAACCATTTGCCAACACACTTGGAACGTTTCTCTACCTGATCAAATCTAAGCAAGCTCAGTGTGGCATGATCCGGAACCTCACGAAAAAAGCCCTGAACTGAAGATAACATGGCGGGCAGACCTGTTGGCGGAGCTCGTCTGCAAGCAGATCGACATCAACATCAACCCAGTAATGCTAAGTGCAAAGCCATGCAAGCCATGCACTGAGCAGTCCAGTGCCAATGGCGGGCAATCAGTTCATAGCACTACGGTACGAACCTGGGTTGCACAAGAGCACACTCCAGATCACTCCAGTCAGTTATTCGCGGCGCAGAAGGCCTCTGCCCCAAAGTGGTTGGCTACGGGCATAGTTCGGCCTTATAACAGCATGAATCCATTTTCATAAGCTGCTTGCACAAGCTCAAAAGACACTTCCCTCGGCTGAAGACCAGCCAAACCAGTCTTCAGTACTATCTGGTAGACCTTCATCCACGGATTCGAAGATTTCCTCGGCGGTTTCACGGCTTCAGGTTGCAAGCCGCAAAAGGTTGCAGGGCTGTCCAGAAAGTCCCCACTACTCGCAAAAACATCTTCTCATAAAAGGTCTAAATGTCTAAAACCATCACTTCCGTCTTTCAACCCGGGCACGCAAAACATACTTGACGAAGTTGTAGCTGCCGAGACGCGTGGCTACATCCATCTCTGCAGAGTCCACCACCTGAAAGCTGCGCCTGCCATCAGAAAGATGTAAGTGAGCCTTGGCCCACAAGCTTCGGCATCTCAGAGAGATCAATCCCACAAGCTTCGGCAAGCTGCAGGCAGCTTGTGAAGAATCAATTGCAACGTTGTACTGCTTGTTGCGATGCGGTGCCTTTGTCAGTATCTGCCTTCATCTCTATCTCTGCCTCTGTCTCAGTTTTTGTCTCTGTGCTTGTTGTTCTTTCTCCTTCACGGCTGTCTTCCTTCTTTCTTTCCTTCATTCATTCCTTCTTTCCTTCCAGCACGCATGGCCACCCAAGTGGCCGCCCCAAGAAGGCGCGCGGTGATACATCGGCTGGGTTACTCAAGGCTGTCTGCTTTATCTCTCTCTCTCTCTCACTCTCGCTCTCTCGCTCTCTCTCTCTCTCTCGCTCTCTCTCTCTCTCTCTCTCTCTCTCTCTCTCTCTCTCTCTCTCTCTCTCTCTCTCTCTCTCTCTCTCTCTGTCTCTCTGTCACTCTCTATCTCTGTCAGTCAGCCAGGCCTGTCTGCAAGCACCGCGGCTCAAGCATTTTGTGGTTGGAGACACGTTCCATGTGCGTATGAAACAGTGCATTTGGCGTTTGAGGCCACAATAGAAGGGTGCATACACCACCTGGCGTTTTAACAAGTAATCGGTGGAGGTCGCCTTCAGGCGCAGGGGCCGGGAAAAAGGCAGCCGGGCGCGCATTGCTCCCCCCCGTCTGTCCTGCCCGTCCCAGCTCGCATCGGCAGCATGGTCTTCTTGTAAACTTGTAAACCCCCGACTTGGCTGTATCAGACTAGTGTCCCCCTGCTTTCCTTCTAGCCATCGCCCGCTTTCTTGGACTTAGCTGCGCTCAGTCGACATCCCCGTCCTGCGTTTCAGTACACTGCTTGTCGGTTGCAACGGGCTGGAAAGAGCAGGGTGCCTGCGAACCACTTCACAGAGCGCCTCCAACACCACTGTCGAACCCCCCTGGCTGGACCGTCCCATCCGTTCCCGCTCCCCGGCCCGCTAACCGTTTGGTCGTCTTCACGGCTGCGGGCCCGAGCGGGCAGTGGAAGCGAGCCGCCATCCACTGGAAAAAATGCAAGATGTTGCAAAATCAACTGTAGGCTCTTGAGCCAGGTGCCTGGCTTCTCAACTTTAACTTTGCCCGATGCTATAAAGTTAATCTGGAAGACGAGTGGACAGCAACACACCCCGGACTCTGAACACCTCACATGAACACTGCGCTTCAGCAACGTGCTCAACTTCCAGAACTGCATCAACAGCAGCCCTTGGATCCATTCATAGCACAGCGAGCGTACGGTTTCGGTGCAATTTTCAAAAACCAAACTCAGACGAGTTTGTTCTGGGTTGGAATGCTCAAAGGTCATGTAGCGGTACCTTGAAGCAACTACCATGTGGCAAAATGTGATAAACAGGCACGGCCACTGAGCAGGATTCCCGGCTGCAGCCCATGCCCATGGCTTGGCTCTCATGCCCAACTCGTAGAGATGGATGGGACTGGACTCGCTAGACATGTCAGGATGTTCAGTTGGCATTCTTTGCAGAAGAAAGCAACAACACCCGATATTCGAGTGTCGCTTGCTCCTGAAAGCAGCTACAGCGAAAGGGTCATGCAGCAGTCATGCAGCAATGGCTGCAGTTGTCCGCTGGGGTTGTTCACTAGTATCCCGGCAACCCACGGCCTTGACGAAGCAACACCCTGCTAGGAAAGGTCCTCGGTCTTGCCTGAATCTGGGGGTTGGGGCCCAAGCTGACATAACTGGCACCGACGTGATGCTCAAAGGGCTGCAGGCTGTGTTCACCACTAGCAACTTCTGCCAAGTATGACTCTGTTGCAGGCGCCTTTGGCGTGCAACCTAGACTTTGGCTACAGCGGTTCAACGTCACTGCATGTCCTAGTGACCCCGAAAAGGAGTCTGCACGCGACTCCAAACCACCGCTGCAGTTGCAACTGGATTCCGTTTCAAGCCGATGCCCACTCTGGAGCTCCGCCAGCAAACAGCCCAAAGATGAATCCCCACCTTCGCTTGATACTCAGGAGGTGTCTGAGCATCATTGGCAGTCATGAATTTGCAAATTCTTCTCACCGAATGTGAGAACTGCACTACACGTCGCAGCGGGTCACTGCACCTCAGTTGCAACAGCATACGAGATGAAGATATGCTTCAAAGCACCATTGTGAAGCCCAGCACTAAAAGCAGGCATCAAGCTTAAAGCTCTGGTCTGGTCACCCACTCTCGATGTTTAACATTGTTTAACAACTTTGAATTTGTGTTGATGTTTGGTGTTGACGTTGCCCAGTGACTTGAAACTGCACGCTGAGACTCTGAGGACTGCTGGTTCTCCGCCGTTTGCCGTCCTCCAACACAACAAGACGCAAGAACAAACTAACAAATGCTTCACTTCACGGCCTTTGCACTTGCAACCCTCCCGCACGCCACAATCGGCCACTATTCAAAAAAATCATATACGAGAAGGAACTCAAGTCACACTTGTCGTCTGGCGCCTTTGCGCGATGCCAAAGCCTGGAGCATGTTCTCTGCGCACATGCACCTCCGCTCTGAGATTCGGCTTCATGTGATGCTCGGTTGGGTGATGTTGGGTGTACAAGTGTGTAGGGGTCATGGATCAAGCACAGATGTGGCGACTCACCTCAGCAGCTCTTCGGGGCTTTCTGCACCAGGTGGCACAGCTGGGACCTGGCGGAAAAAGACGTCATGGGAAGTTCACGAAACTCTTGACATTCTTTTGAATATACTGGGATTCTCCCTCTCGATTCTTGATATTCCCTTTCCCCAAGTTGTCTCACTCTGCAAGGCTCGGCCGCCTCCGCCTCCTCTGCCTTGTCCGCCATGCTTTGCAGAGCAGCACGCTCCTCTAAAAGCTCAAACTGTCTTCAAGCTATCCTCATGTTCAACCGCACAAGTCCTGAAGCCCTAAAACCCGAGCCTTCACTCGACAACATGAAACGTCTCCATTGCATGTGGCCCTTGTAAGCTCTGTGCACGCTCTCTGCCTGTGATTGCCTTCGTTTTGTGCAATTGTGTGTGCTCTGCTGCCTCTTTGACTGCCTCATACTGCCTCATCCTGCGCTCCTCGATCGCGGCCGTGGAAGGACGGCTCTCCGTATCCTCGCACCTGGCTGAGAGCGGGTGGCAAAGGGATTGACGGGGCTCAAAGCGAGCCACCGCAAATTGGCAGGTGATTTACAAACATTAAAGTAGCATAAAGTATGAGTTTGCCCGTTTATCCCAAGATGCACTTACTGCTTCCAGATCAAACCAACGGTGCCAGAACGACAAGAGCTCCTCGAATACGAGGTTCTTCAGCTCCTGACTGCCGGCTCCCGATGCGCAACGAACCACATTTTTTCATGCTACGCTGCAAGCAGGCGATCCTCGCTGTAAATCCAGCGGAAGCTGCAACGTTTCTTCAAAAACGCCCGCCGGCGCTCGTGCAGAGCGTCCTGGCACCAGAGCACCCTTTGCATCTACTTTCCGAAGCTGGCCTTTCAGATCCCTTCAACTTCAGGCAGGCTCAGGTATACTGAGAAGCGCAACAGACAAACTGGCCAGAGGTTCCGCAGAAGAGCCTGCCGGGACCAATCCATGACAGATGCTGCTTGTGCTTCTGATTCTCGCGTAAGGTTCCGGCACTCCTCTGCTTGGAACGCCTGTCGAGCAACTGACTCGCAAGCAATAACTAAAGCCCGACATGGAAAGCAGCCAAGCAGAGTGTAAGCTCAACAGCTGGCCTCCCTGTGCAGGGGAGGCAAGGTCTCAGGATGACACAGCTTAGGACTCTACGAATCTTTCCATCTTTCTAGTATCCAGCAATCACTGGCACGCCGTAAGCTCGCAGCCACGCTGCGCTTGTCCTTTCGTGGCGGTACGCCTCGGCCAGGCACGGCAAAGATTGACAGAAATCCCTGCTATGGATTTCTGAGGATGGCAAGAGCCGCCCTGTGGAAGAGCAACTTAGTAACGAAGAACCTAAGAACCGCCACTCAGGTTCAGACGAGAATTATTGGAGTTGGTCCTGCGAACTGAAGGAACGTGAACATTCACATCAACGACGGAGCCTCACAGCCTGTACTGCTAATTGTGAGAGCTGAATCTGAGTCATGCTCAATCCAAACACAAGGCTCCATGCAGTCTCCCGATAGCCTCGTCACATCTCTGGACGACTTGTGGGTTGGCAGCGAAGGTATCACCTGCTGCATTGGCGACGAGTGAGTATAGACTACCGAGCATGAAACAAAACTGCCACTCGAAGGTGAGCAGTGGTTTGATCCTGTTTTTTGTTTCAAAGCAATCAATGCACTGACAAACTGCGTGCCATCACCTTGCAACTACGTGAAGGTGAAGATGTTGGCGTTCCACCTGGCACACGGCAATCAGACTGCGGGTACAAGTTCCTGCTTGAAGGCTGCATGAAAATTGGCAACGCAGCTTCGCGCAGCTTGGCGCAACGTGGCCCAGCTGACCAGTTGCCGTGCCCAGGAGGAAAGTCCAAAAGCTGTTTGCAGCCAAGGCCTCCGACTCCCAGCTTGGGAGTTGGAGCTTGGGTCTGTCAGGCCACTGGAGAGTGTCGGATAGTAGGGCAACAGACTCAAGTCACGTTCAAAGGCTCTGAAAATGGTCTTTGGGTGGGTCGGTCGGTGATTGACACGATAGGAGATTGGACCTCCGGCGAGTTTCGATATGCCAGCAGCTCCTGGGCGAGAAAGACACGAAGCCAGGACCATGAAGCAACCTAGCACAACACAGCAAGACAAACCTTTCAAGCAGGTCCTTGGAGTTGAAGGGCTTTCCAAGTGCAGCAACCTGCTCAAGCGCAGCCAGAAAAATCTCCAGTGCGACGGCGCAGCAGAAACAGTGAACACACAATGCATCTGCAAAAAGTCTCCTCGAAAAGGACGACCCCCAGCGACCTCAAGACAAGACCCAAGCACCAAATCAAGCTATCGTGACACAAATCAAGCCAAAATAGTTACGAGTAGACTTCAGTACACTGCCTACGCATCTCAACACCACAATACCTTCGTCCCCCACAAGAATGACGCGAGGGTCAACAGAGAACTTCTTCTGCTGTTCTAGTGCTAAGTGCCCAACCAGACATCGCAGTTGAGTCCGTAAGGACGCCGGCCCAGCAGCTCGGGGGCCATGATCCTGCCACTCTTTCCGCCATGCTTTGTCCGAGTTCCATGATCCTCCATGGAGCTTTTCAAGGATCTAAACAAGTAGGGCGCACCAGAGAGTGCCCGTCTCATCTCTCCGCTTCGCAGCCTGGGGGGCAGCAACAACATTGCAAGCTTTTGACTTCCATGCAAGAAGGTAAAGACCTTCACAACGAAACAAAACTGCTGCACCAAGGGCAGTGCGTCCTCCAGCAGCACTGCCGTGCCAAAATCTGCGAGTTTGTAGCAACCTGGCAGAAACGCAAAAATCACAAATTCAACAGGCCTGGAAGCCTGCAACATGCGCAGGCACGTAACAATGCAGCAGTCGCTCATTGCAGGCCTTGAGCCCACAAGATGTTCTCGCATTTGACATCCTTGGAAGTTGCTTCCAAAAAGTCCGTTACACAAAAATAACCAGCTTGATCCTGTGATTGAGAAGCGCATGTACCCAGCTCGCGTTTACCACTTTGCCACTGCAGGTGGCTGCAGGTTGTTTGTGCAGATCATGGGGCCTGTGCATAACTGCGTGACATCATGGAGAACTAGGCGTGCGACCCTGTGTGCAATGCCATGACGATGTAGGAAGCAGAGGGCGGACAGGATGTTGCGCAGCACCTGAAGACCAACGCCGGGCACGCCCGGCACGCCCTTGGGAGTCTTGTCAGTTTCCCCCTTCGCTAGGCGAATGATTTCCAGAGACGAACACCTTCACGTTCCAACTCGCGGCATGATCAAACCTCTAGATCCTACAAGTCCTTCCAATGGAGTCGTTCAATCAAAGCGGCTGGGGCAGGGCCATAACGAATGACAAAGCGCACCCCCGCCCAGTTGGTCAAGCACACGGCTGAGCCACAACAGTGCAAGTGAACCCCCCTCTTATACGAACCCCCATGGCTTTCCAAACACATTTACATGTTGGGTGGTTATCTTCTTTCCTCTTCTTCTCCATCAGGCCTGGAGCACCTCCCGCTCAGGGAAGCGGAAGCGGCCAGGGTCGGAAAGGATCTTCACAACGAGGCCTTTGCCGGAGGGCAAGAAACAAAATGAGCACATGCCGTCAGAGCAATGGTGCTGTGAAGAGCATTGAGACACGGGCTGCCATCCGAAGTCCCAGCAGAGACGTGACCTAGCTGACAAAGACGCACGAGGCATGGAAGGTTTGCTGAGCTTGCTGAGCTCCTCTGCCGTACGCACGCCGCTGCGCAGCCAAGGACTTTTCAAAGTCAGTGCGCAGATTACCTGTGAAATCACTGAAGACTTTCTTATACTGCTATTTTTCTCAAGCACTAGAGGGTGCTGTCAGACATCCTGACCCAATCACATACTTGCATCATCTCTCTTCGCTGTGTGGCAACTTGTCTTCTCTCCACCTGCTGCAAAGATCATGTCAGCGAGGCTGAAAGAGCATAATTCCATGACCTTGCATTGCCATCTGCACGAGGTCTCTGTTGACACTTCTGCAGCATGGGAAACATAGGAAGCGCTCAGAAAGCTCTTGCTCTCCTTGGTCAATCTCACACTTGGCAGCTGGCCAGATAAACCTCCCTGTCCAGGCCCGTGGGTCCTCTCGGTTTTTCCGGAAGGGGGGGGGGGGGCCTAGGCTGCCCTAAACCCTCTCAACATTTTGTCTGTCCATGTCTCCCCTGCCTGCAAACCAGTCCAAGTAGGCAACGAAGTACGGATGCCTTAAATGTGGGTGGTTGTGGCAAAGCTTGGCTCGGCTTTTTGGCATTCTCATTCCTCAAACCCTCAGATCATGAAACTGGCGCCTTGAACTGCCACATCCGTTGACTTGGGTTTTGATCCAAACTTGTGAGGCTGTGCAGTGCCTGTCTTCTCAGAGCACGGCCCGGGAGAGACTGGATCCCCCACCTCAGTGTGTCAAACCAGAGTTCGGTTGGTTTACCTCGGGAACAATCCTAAAATTTAAAAGTGACTGGCGGACCTCCGAACGCAGGCAAAGAGCTACTACCCTTCTGCCCTACAGATGGGAATGACGTCAGTTGGCCCGAATTGAGCTGAAAAATGAGTCTTTGTTGTGTTTCGGCATTTGTCTTGAACAGCTGTTGTTGCAAACACGAACACGTGATCTTTTCCAGTGAACCAAGGCCGGTACCTCCTCAGCATACTTTGCCCGGCACTGGAAAACCATGGAGATCTGCGGAATGCACTTAACCGGATGCAGCTCTCGACCACTCCGGAACTGATTTACCGTTTGCACGATTACTCCCGAACATACCCAAACTCCACAACCTGTGCTTGATACTGCGCCTCCTGTTGTATCTGACGCTGCACGCCCGCATTGATGGCACGCATATGTTTCAGCGCAACCTCCATGTAAACGAGCGGAAAGATATCGGGTGAACAAAATTGCAACTCCACAACGAACGCCGATCAACATTCGATGGCATCCAAAGCCACGCCTGCGACGCTGGTGAGCTGCTGTTGGGCAAAGCTCCAAACTCCTGGCTGCAACATATTGCGCCGAACAAGGATGGAACATGAAGTGCTGATGGAAATGGATCGAAGGAGCTTGCAGCAGCCCCCCACAGTATGCGGAGTAGCATGTCACCACTTGCACTTGTCGCAACACTGCTTGGCAGCCGGTCACAAGCTGCATTGCGCTCCCTTAATCGCCTATATGTTTCGCTCCACTTTCACAAATAAGACTTGCCGGAAGATCTGCACAAGCCGCTGCTGCAACACGGCCAAGAAAAACTTCGCCTGACAGCTAGCCGCTGAAACCATGTTCAAACTCTCGCATGACGTGATCTGGAAATCCCAAATCCACAGGCAAAACCACTTGCTGTCATGCACCAACATTTGCATGCTCAGGTTCTGGCCAGTTGCCCCGCATGACAATTGTTTGCCCTGAACGTAGCCTGGCCGCAAAGACTGGAGAAGTTTGGCCTTACACAGCCTAACTCCTGAAATCACATGCTGCAATCATCGGAAAATTGAAAAACAACCTGAAAACCATGCCGAAAGCAATGCAATCTTCCGTAATTCGTATGTCGATTTACAAGATTTTGCTGTCGCAAGGAACCCAAACAGTTCGCACGGCCCTCCTCGGTTTTGCAAACGCCGTCCGGTTTGGAAGCCGCGGCAAGCTGCAAGAAGCTCCGACTGGCACAGGAAAGGGGATTGATTGGTGAGCACGAGAACATTGTCGAAATCGCATGCGACCATGCATGCGCCTGTGCAGCGTTAGAGAAATGGAAAACCGACGCAATGCTTTCAAAAACGATGCCACACGAGCATCCACATGAGTAGACCAGATCATCTCAACGTCAGCGCGCTTGTGAAAGCCTGCCTTTGAAAGCGGCTGACTGCGTGTGTCGGACTCGGAACTCCGCGCCATTCAACATTGCTTCGCACATCCACACTGACCCAAAAACACATGTTCTTGTAGTTGCCAATGTTCCCGTCTGCAATAAGGGGCGCAAATCCCAGGCATTGTAGTCCAAGTATGCGTGGCATGTTGCAAATATGGTCAAGGGCTCTCATGCCGATATGCTCTGTGCAACTTGCTTGTTATTCATGGCATAGTTCTTAACAACTTCTAACCACATACCATGAATCAATCCAGGTCAGACATCCCCAATAACCGACAAGTTTTGGCTAATTTGCTTGCCTCTAACACGTTGACGACCTCGTGGCCAGCTGGTCATGTAAAGAATCTTGATTACTTCTGGACCCAAGAATGAAAGGTTTACCCCTCCTGACCTACCAGCGGCTTGGCCACGGACCCGGGTGAACATGTGCCGGAATGAGATTGCAACAAGAATCACGAACTTAAAGTCAAGAGAAACGGCACGCTACACGTTTTTTCGTGTGCCACCTCGAAGTGGGACGACAGTAACACACACAAAAACGCTCCTTTTTGCTGAAAAACATGGCAGACAGCATGGCTCGTAGATTCCTACTTTCACAAAATGCAAACGCGTTCTTCTCACGTCTGGGTCTTTGACTCTAAGCTCTCATTGGGGCATTGGTTCGAAGATGTTTTTGACAGGTTGACACACCGACGGTATTTTCCTGTTGTTTCCCAAACTCTGTACACTTAAGACGGCACCAGGGTCTTCATTGCTTGCTCCAATGAACTTCTTTCATTGCAGTCCAAACTCAATTCCTTCAGATGCTGCTTCCGTCGTCTCCAACATGCACACATTCGTCTCCAAAGATCTTTCTGATGCGTGCAGTCGCTTCGTGGAAACATGGGTGTGGTTTTGTATCCATGTTGTAAAGTCGTAAGCTTCAACCCTTGGCCCCCTGTGGCTCTGAAAATGGTTTGTTTTCTTTATTACCCATGTTCTTTCTTCACACTTCTTGCCGCTACCTGGCTTTACCTGCAACTCCAAATCCTGCATTGTGAGACTCTAAGTGGAGCTCTTCGCGCTTTGAAAACTGCTTTACATAAAACTCTGACAAAAGTGTATATACACGCCTTCGCATGTCTTCTCACTCAACATGTTTGTCGTTCTTCGTCTTTTTTCTTCACCAGCCCCTTGTTTCCTTTTCCTATTCCTTTGGAGGGGTTATGCTGGCCGTTGGCATCGTCGTCGTAATCATATCCTGCATCCCACTCCAATCTCATTCGCGCCAATCCAGCTGGCTCCATTCTTGCTAGTACTGATCTTACTCCTGGTTTTTTGTCCCATCTTCCTGTGTCCATGCAACAGTCTTTTGCATTCCACTCCTCCGCGCCCTCACAGCGACTCGAAACGAATCTGTCGGGTCACTTCGTGTCACGCGCTTTTCGTTGGTGCCTTTAAACTCCCAAAGCCCTCCACGCCCTGTGACATATCTTGTGATTTTTGGCGTCTGCATGTTTCAGTTCCTTGTCCGCTCCACTGCTGCTGCGGCCATTGTTGCTCTTAGTTTCTTCTCCTCGTCCAACTCGGAGCTGATAATTCCTTCAGCTTCCTGCAAACCCTTTCAACTTCCCAGCTGAGATTTTTCTTGACTTTAAACACTCCTGCTCGATTCTCTCTGCGGCCTCTGCTCCTCGACGACGGCTTTCAGCTCCTCCATGGTCTTTTGAAGTACTTGTTCGTTTGTCCAATGAAAACGAAATAGCTGTTTCTCCTCGGTCCTAATGTGTTCTGCTTCTCTTTTGAACACGCCTGCTTGTCTTTTGAATTGCTGCTGCTGTGGCTGCTCTCTTCATCGCTTTGATTCTTTGAATTCGTTGCTTGTGCTTTGCAATTTATCTTCTTCTTATTCGTGTCTTTTGGCTTCTCAAACTTTCCAAAGACGAAAAGAGAGCATCGTTGCCAACGCCGTCAGCAACATCTTTAACATTCTTGACACACTTGCTGCTGCCTGCTGTACGCCATCAGTGTTCATGCTGCGCAGTTCGGTTTCTAGACTGCGAAGATGGACTGAATATCAAATTCAAAAGCTGCAACCAAAGAACCACTTCCTCAATTGTTCGTCATCTTCGGAAGGCAACTGCAAGAACTTGCAGCTCAGCGAAAAAAAAACCAATCTGCCAAACTAAACCAAACACAACCGAACCGAACATAGCCTGCTTTTGAACTCTTGCAAGGGGTCTGGGGAAAGGAAAAGGCCGGAAAGTAACCATTGAAGACAAGCTGAATTTGGGTTCGAATCCAGTTTCGACCGAGAGCTCGAACATTAGAGTTCGAACGCAATTCGAGCATTTGGGTGGCGACCACCCCTCATCCTCCTACTTACTACTTACTACTTACTACTTACTACTTACTACTTACTACTTACTACTTACTACTTACTACTTACTGCTTACTACTTACTACTTACTACTTACTACTTACTACTTACTACTTACTACTTACTACTTACTACTTCCTACTTACTACTTACTACTTACTACTTACTACTTACTACTTACTACTTACTACTTACTACAGACTACTTACTACTTACTACTTACTACTTACTACTTACTACTTACTACTTACTACACACTACTTACTACACACTACTTACTACTTACTACTTACTACTTACTACTTACTACTTACTACTTACTACTTACTACTTACTACTTACGACTTACTACTTACTACTTACTACTTACTAGTTCCTACTTCCTACTTACTACTTACTACTTTACTACTTTACTACTTTACTACTTTACTACTTTACTACTTTACTACTTTACTACTTTACTACTTTACTACTTTACTACTTTACTACTTTACTACTTTACTACTTTACTACTTTACTACTTTACTACTTTACTACTTACTACTTACTACTTCTTACTTCCTACTTCCTACTTACTACTTACTACTTACTACTTACTACTTACTACTTACTACTTACTACTTACTACTTACTACTAACACCTTACTACTTACACCTTACTACTTACACCTTACTACGTACACCTTACTACTTACACCTTACTACTTAAACCTTACTACTTACACCTTACTACTTACACCTTACTTCTTACACCTTACTACTTACACCTTACTACTTACACCTTACTACTTACACCTACTACTTACACCTTACTACTTACACCTTACTACTTACACCTTACTACTTACACCTTACTACTTACACCTTACTACTTACACCTTACTACTTACACCTTACTACTTACACCTTAGTACTTACACCTTAGTACTTACACTACTTACACCTTACTACGAAGGCTACGCCATGCGGCACGCATTCATGACAATCATGCAGCCAGACTAAGGTGCACAAGTAAGATAGGGCCAGGCAAGCCGAGAAGGTAGGGCGGCACATCCAGCAGGTGAGTGGTTTCGGGGTTCGGTGAACGGATAGTGCGCAGCATGTCCATAGCAGTTTCGCGCGCGGTCACACCTTGAACCCTCGGCAACCAAAGATGCGGCTGACCAGCCTGCAGTAAGGGGAACACCTGCCGACCTATACTACGCATCCAAGAGCTCCCCGCCGGCATGGTTAGAGAAAGGGTGCTGATATCCAGGAGCGCAGGTGAGGCAGATTGTAGGGTGTCAACAACCACACACACATCACCGTGCCGTAGACTACTTACACCTTACTACTTACACCTTACTACTTCCACCTTACTACTTCCACCTTACTACTTACACCTTCCTACTTACACCTTACTACTTACACCTTACTGCTTACACACTGCTTACACACTGCTTACACACTACTTACACACTACTTACACACTTCTTACACACTACTTACACACTACTTACACACTTCTTACACACTACTTACACACTACTTACACACTACTTACACACTGCTTACACACTGCTTACACACTACTTACACACTTCTTACACACTACTTACACACTACTTACACACTACTTACACATTACTTACACACTACTTACCCACTACTTACACACTACTTGCACACTACTTACACACTACTTACACACTACTTACTACTTTTACTACTTTACAAATTTCACTACTTTTTCTACTTTTACTACTTTTATTACTTTTTTTACTTTTACTACTTTTACTAGTGTTACTACGCTTACTACCCTTACTACCCTTACGACCTTTACTGCCCTTACTTCCCTGACTGCCCTGACTGCCCTTCCTGCCTTTACTACCCTTATTACTCTTATTACCCTTACTACCCTTATTACCTTACTACCTTACTGCCCTGACGACCTACTGCCCTTATTACCCGAATTACCCTTGCTACCCTTTCCACCCTTTCCACCCGCGTTTGTTGAGGTGGATTCCAACGCATGGGACAACTGTCTTGCTGGGCAAGTTGTTCTGCGGAGATCGTCTGCGCATTCTTTGGCGCCAGAACAAAGCAACAATTTGTTGATGCATGCCAGACTGTGGCAAGAAAAAGACTTTTTTGCAAAATTCGGATCAAAAAAACAGATGCCGGGCGCGACCTCTGGAGCGGCAGCCTTTCAGGGTTTGGGTTGACCCCAAGAAACCCTAAACCCTAAAAGTCCAGGTCGCACCGCCAAACAGATCCGGTTGACTTTGTTTTCTGTTCAATTGCTTCAGGCTCACGTTGCAAGCCTGTTTTCGGTGACTAGCTTCGCTCCAGCGCAAGCAGTCGTGGTAAAAGGTACTGTTAGAGAAAGTTCCGGTTCCAAACAAGTTCACACTTTGCCGCCTTGCTGCCTGCTGTTCTAATTTTGGGGGAAGACTGACACAAGACTTAGACTGGAACCGACTGAGAGGCTTATTTGTTTTACTCGCAACGAGGAGCTGTGAAAGCCAGATCTGGCTTCCCGTGTGTGAAAAAAACGCCGCAACTGGGCCCAAAAATGGCTCCTAAACTTGGGTTCCAATTTGAGGCTCCAACCTGGGTGGCCTTGTATGTTCACACAGGAAATCCAAAATCTAGGGCCCGTTTTCGGTGCCCAGAATTGAGCTGCTT